GTTCAGGGGCTTGTGCGCCATATTTTGTTAAGTCGGGGACGGCTCGAAGCTTGTATGCGTAGCATCTTACAGTGCGAATGGGGCAGGTCCCCAGGAGACAAGGTTGCTGCGAAGGTGTCGGAGGATGGACACGATGAGGTTTTCCAGGTTGAGGAGGAGGTGGGAACTCCGTTGTGTTTTTTGTTCACAGCCTTCTTAGTGGTTGTATGGGCGTTCCAACTAGCCAAGAACACGTGCTGCTACCTCCCGCACCCCTCCTTCCCTTCGCCTCCACCGTCTGTCGCTCCTCTCCGTCCCTCGCCCACTCTCGTCCTTTCCTCTCGTCTGATACCCTTCGGTCCTTGTCAAACAGGGGGTAAACGATAAGACAGCGCTCCATCTCAATTCATATGTTGCCCGGTTGCTTGTCTGCTCCTGTTTGCTTCTCTGGGGCGCACTCCGCCTTTCCTCGGAAGCTGCCAAGCCTACAACTATCAACACTTTCGCATCCCGGCCCAACTGACAAGATACCGCGAAGCAGACCCGCAACCTTCAATCTAAAGAGATGAAAGCCGATGATGCGAAAGACAAACGTCGAATCATGTGGTTCTAGCGTTCTTGCGAGGCAGGAGTGCCACCACGTTCCCGTGCCCCGGGGGAGGTCCAGCGGAGTGACGCCCTACTCAGAGCCGCAGCATTGCCACTCCGCTTGGCATTGCCGAAAGAGGAAATGTGTCGCCAACTTCCTGGGCCCCTGGCACGTCATGCGGCAGCGGCGTCTCCGAAGGAGCTCCTTGTTGATCCTGCCTCCTCCTCCTCCTCCTTCTCTTCCTCCTCCTCCTCCTCCTCCTCGTACTCCTCATCCTCGTCCTCCTCTTCCTCCTCCTCCTCCCCATACCCCCCCACCCGGGCGCCACCGAGCGCACAACCCCGAGATAGTGCCGCTGCAACTCTTTCGCCACCGGCGTTTTCGTCCAGCTTCAGGCCCCAGGGCCCTCGAGGCGGCGCGCCAAATGCGGCAGCAGATGGGGTCCGGGGCTCCGGTCGTGAGCTTCCGCGAGGTGGCAATGCGTTCGCGACGTCGGATCTCAGGGAGTGGCAGCTGCGCCTCCGTGCTCCCCGGTGAGGTCCGGCGGAGCAGCGCCCTGCGCAGCGCCATGCTCCTGATGGTCTGGTAGGTGCTGTCGGGACACGGGAGTTAATGATGAGGACGTGGAGGGGAAATCGACGAGACGCCCCCCTACTTCCCTCACCTCTGCCCCTTTCCCATTATCCGTGGCCTGCTGGTGGTTGCCACCTTGGAACGGCGAGGCACGGCACGATGTCGCACATCCGGGTTTACGTCCTAACACTTCCACCTACGACCCTCGGGCCGTCAAATCCAGTCAAACATGATGATGATGATGATGATGAGGAGGAGGAGGAGGAGGGGGAAGCACCATGCTGCTGATACGGGTGTGCAAAACACGATGCCCGCGAGAATCTCTGCTCTCCTACAAACTAGTAGGAACATGATTCGGACAAGAAAAGTGTGGCCGACTGCACACAGACCTGAAGCAAATAACGCAATGAGACATCGAGCTCGATGCTCATGCTAAGCACACTTGCAGCTCGGAGTGCAAAAGAAGGGGAGGCACACACACAAGTTGCAGCTGCTGATGCTGCCGCTCCTCCTCCTCCTCTCCCTCCTGCCCCTTTTTTTCCTCCCCATCCACCGCATACTTGTGCATGGCGTGAGTTGTCTCACATTCGATAGATTGCATCATTGTGTGACGCTGCCTGGTAGTATGCTCGTGCCCGTGTACACTCTCCGAGCCGCGCCAGAGCGCTCGTCAGGCGGCCTGCTCGAGCTCGTGCGGAGTTCTGTGGATAATCTGGCTCCCAGTACCCTGCATCTTCCTGCTTCTGCGGCTGCCCTCACTGTGTTGAGGCTTACTCCCGCAACGCGGCGCCGCGCCCGTGGCAAATGCGCCTCTTTAGCGCGTGCACCTTCTGCTGCTGCGGGCGCGAGTCCGTCGACTGTTATAGTACTGGACCCGCCGCATGCCTCGGACCTTCACATCGCCCGCAGCACGCGCGCATTCCATTTGGACTGACGCTAGGTGTGAGTAGTTGCGTAGTGCCTGCGTATATAGGTATATCTATATAGTTGGTCGCCTGGGCCGTATCGGGATCCGTATTCGCACACGGCGTCATTTCGTCTTGTCGGCCTTGCTGCGGTTCAGCCGCTCTTCCTGCTCCCCTCTGTTCTCTCCTTCCCCGCCCACTTGAGAAGGGCAAGCGAACAGGTAACCGCGAAGTGAGAGAATAACTATATCTTGCGCGGGCTTATTGGCGGATTGGTATTTCAACAATATGAGGAGGGGAAGGACGAGCTCAATGGCCAGCCGAGTGTTTTGGGGGGGGGGGTCACTGGCATCTTTAAAGATCCTCTGAGGTCAATCCGGACTCCTGGTCAGGCGGTGCCATTCTCTTCGAGGTTCGAGGATTGAGTTCCTCACCCCACTGCTCCCGCTGTTCCTCCTGCTGCTGTTCCTCCTCCCCCATCTTGCCCCTCGAGGGGGGCCGGGGGTTTCCCAGAGGTCTACGGCTGACGCGGGTGGGGGGCGAGGAAGAAACGCCCAGAAGTTTGGATTTTCTATTGTCTCAGGAGCCCCTAAACTCATGTCGGGCATGTCCCTCTACAGGAGGAACATTCACAAATATTACTAAAGAAGAATGGGGACGATTCTTCGGTAATTATTTGACCATTGTTGAGTATGTTTGACCATTTTGATGTTTTGTTGAAAATCCCCCTGTAGGAGGACATGCCCGACCTAACCCTAAACCAAGACATTGCTAATCAAGACTTTGAAAACTACACCTGCATGGAGCAGAAAATGGAGAAAGCCTCGGCCCGCGGCTGCAACTGTCTCGGGCGTGCCCTGTCATGCTTTATCAAAGGCCCCTTCAAGTGGGGTCCCCGATCCTCCCTCCTCCCTCGTGCTCCTCCCTCGATCCCTTCTCCTGCTGCTGTTCCTTTTTTTCCTCCTCCTCCTCCTCCTCCTCATCATCATCATCATTATCATCATCATCATCATCATCATCATCATCATCATCATCATCATCATCATCATCATCATCATCATCGCGTTTGTCCGTAGCTGGGTCGGCTGAGCGGGGAGTTCGCAGACGCACGCACGCTCCAGTCTGTTGCAGCTCGGTGCCATGCCAGTCAGCCGTACTTTCTGATAACGAGAGTTATCGCCACAAGAGAATCATCTTCTTCCTGCACGTGGCCGAACACAGTTTCACGGTCGTGCAGGGCTCAATCCATATCTTCAGTGGCGGAGTTGACCCACATATGCTTGTCAGGCTACCTTGGCCGCGTCCCTCCCACCATGGCCGGTGGCCTCAAGAACAAGTCGAACAAATTCATGCGGCTCTTCTTCACCCTGGGCGTGGAGCTGGAGCCGAGGTATCTGAGTGGGCAATTGGCCGATTGCAGCAAAACGATATCCAATATTTGTCGCTTGCCGTCGCGGAGCTGGCTGACCAGATCGCGGGCCCCCAGCAGGTAGCAGGCCGTAATACTACGGGCCTGGGGGAGAACTTGGCAATGGCTTGGTCAGCTCTCGTGATGGCGTGTCTTCACAAAGCTCAGGTACGGAGCCGACCGGTGTCTTGGGCTCGACGGGTTTGGCATGCACTACCACCGTTAGTGCAGGCAGCGGTTCAGCAGAAGGGTATTGATTACATCAAGCAGGTCCACGCGGACATCCTGGAGCCCAAGAGTGTCACCTACATCTACGTCCTGTTTGCGCACTCTGGTTTCTATATTGGCAAGTGCAACGGCCGACGCCGCTCTGGGATCCCCTCGGGCGTCGCGGCCCGCGCGATGGAGCATCTACGGGCACTCCGCCTACCAGCCACACGAGATGGAAAGATTGCACGGTATCGCTTGCTGCGGGGGTCGTTGGGCTCGGTGGCCTACCTACCGGTGTACCACTTCGAGTCCGAGGTGCGCGCCCTGGCCATGGAGTCCAGCCTCATTGGTATGCTAGACCCGCCGTGCAACGGTCTGGATGTGGCGCAGCTGCGGGCCATGACACAACAAGCAGATCCTCTACGCCTCAAACCACCAGTCCGACGACGGCGACCCCACAAGCAGTTTCGTGTTACAGCGTTGGTTTCATCGGCCTGGCTTGCGCACCCAGTGCAGAATGCCTTTAACAAGAAGCTCAAGCATGAGGAGTAGGCGCATTGCATTTCTGATAGTTGGGGTCCGTGGAGGACCCTGTATCAACGAGTACAGCTACACATTCTACTTACGTCAGGTGAGCATGGTCCACTATCAATTTTGCAGCCGCAGTGGACAAATCTGTTCCTGGCATTCTTCGCCTCGGCCAAACCACGATCTGAATTTCCACCAGAATGGGATCGTGCTCAAGCCGCCTCTGTTCTATATCGTGCTGGGGGCTCTCTGACCAAATACGTGAAGGGTATGGGCCGTCAACTTGCAGCTCGACGCAATCTTGAATGGCATCTTCGGCGACTACGGCTCCCACCTTTACAAGTGCGCCCAGTCTTATTACCAATTTTTCTGCGAAAGCATAAGAATGTGGTCAAGAAGCTTGCATGGTCATCCTTACAGGAAATGCGAGTGGCACCAGCGAGATCGTGGCTCCAGAAACACATTAAGATATGCTAAAAAAAAAAGGACCAGACATGGGTTCAGCGCTTGAATGGAAAACGAGTTCTTCGAGATGTATCGAAAACTTGGGTATCCGATTCGGGCGTTTCAGATCTTGGACGATGGGCCCAACTTCCCTCTTTTGTGGCTTATGATGCTCCGTGGAGGCTAAAGCGGTGGCCGGCAGCACGACGGATCAAGAGAACAGCCCTGAAAGCTATGCATCATTGGTGTTCGCAACAGCGTCTTCATCCCAGAGTTCAACGACGATGTCGCGCAGCGTCAGATAACCTGGTCTCCCGCCAAGTCTGTCCTGAAGCACCCAAGGCTTGGCTCAAGGAAGAAACACGCATGGCTATATCATTGAGTTCGTCAACCACTTTCCTACATGATGATCGACTCCACACCCGAGCGTGGAGCACCAAGACCGAAGAGTACGCCTCGCACCTCCTGCTCGGCATGGCCAAGGACACGGAGGCCTGGCGCTTCCGACCAGAGATGTGCCCATCCGCGTGTCTCGTATGGGCTGAGGCACGCGCCATCCTTGGTCTTCCAGATTTTCTCCGACGGCGAGTTCGGCAAGTGGCCTCCCGCATCCCTCAGGTCTTCGCCTTTGTCAAGAGCAAGTGCTGGCGCCCAGGGGGTGGCCACGTCTGCGCCAAGGCGGGCCACTCCTGCGTCCGACGCGTCGTGGACATGGCGGGCACCCCGTTCGCGAAGGGCTGGAGGGCCACGGGGCGGGTCGCGCGCGCGGTCGTGGCTGGCGCGGGCTGCTCCAGAGAAGTCTTCAGCATGGGCGACGTCGCCCCCGCGCTGAGGGAGACCCTGAGCCACCTCACTCCCCCCGAACGTGCCATCACTGACGAGGGGAGCTGCGGGTGGCCTTGCGAGCGCTGCGGGGCCAAGTTGGATAGCCTATCGTGCGCAGCCGTAGACGTAGATCAGGCTTTCGAGGCATGCAAGGGTGAGTCGGTCATGAGTGCGCGGGGGAGAACAGCCAGGAGATTTCAAGAACGGTGGAAAGCTGATTCCGTGATGGTGCAGCGGGGGCGCAAATGCGCCGCCCGCATCGGTCCCTCCCGGTGGAATCGCGCCTGGTGGGTCCTGTCCTTATCTCAGCTTGGCTACGCCCAGAAAGCGTCAACAATGATAAGTGTAGCATGCGTGGGGGAGGTCGTTGTCGAGATGCTGGGTTTAGGTATAGGAGGAGTTATGAGTTCAGCAGCTGTAGCAGTTCAGTTGGGCGATGAAGAGGCAAGCGTTCTGGAAGACCCCCACAAACTCGATTCCAAGGGATGGATATTTCCTGAACAGATGTTCTATCTGTTTTTGCGTGGGTAAGGTATGTGGATGATATCTTGTCATTCTCGCATCGTTTGTGTCCGACGTGCATGGTTCGTTGTCTGCGAGCGACTTTCAGGGGGCCGATCAGCATCGTTTTCGTATGCAGCGCCAGCTCCAGAAGTGTGACCTGGCTCGACCTTGAGATCCACCTGGGCCACCAGTGCATTCAGTGGACGCTAACAAATCTTAATCGGCAATGGTTGGCAGGCTCGTCACCATCTCATTCATCGGCGTTCTTGCCCTACCTGGACCATCTACCCGTACCTTTTTACACGTCTTCGGGGGGTCTTCCCGGGCAATATCGCGAGGGGGGTGACTCTTGAGTTGCCGAAGGGGGCCCTGTATGTTTGACATGGAGTTGTTTGTCGAGCTTATCAAGTTGTCTTATCCCTTCGAGGTTGCGCGTGCATTATCTCATTCTTTGCCTCCGTCCCCAGCCGTGCGGCTCGTAAGGCGGGCACTGCGCTCGCGGGGCAAGCTGTTCCTGCCCTCCCTTGGGGCGATGGGAGGCGGCAGCAAAGGAGGCGGTGGCCGTGGCCAGGGCTACGATCAACGGAACGAACCTGGAGGAGGTCGGTATCGGCGGCCTTTGGTCAAACGCGATCAACACGAAGACTCAAGAGATGGCGGACGCAATCGGAGCCGTCGCAAGAGCAAGAAGAGCAAGAAGGACAAGAAGAGACCGAGGTCTTCGTCTACTACATCTTCGTGATCTTACGACTCGGACAAGCAGCTGAAGGTAGCGGGGCGCATCATGTGGAAGAAGGACCCGTCGCACCGCGAGTGCGCGAGGACAAAGGGGGCCGAGAAGAGGGACGAGGAGTTCGCGAGGCAGGGGCGCATCCTGGCGGAGGCTCTGGCACCAGGCCTGCAGGCGGCCATGGCGAGTGCTGTCACGAACGCGGCGCTCGCGGTGGAGTTCCCGCCGCCGCCTCCGCAGACGGCGCCTACCAGTGGGAGCTCGGGGGCCGCCCCCGCGGGCGCCGCCCCCCCCCCCGTGGGCACCGCTCCCGAGGTGCTCGCCCCGCTCCAGCGCCACCTCATCTGCGTGGAGCTGGACCACAAGGTGAAGCTCACCGAGGGCACGCTCGAGGAGCTTATCAACGAGATCGGGGGCAAGTGGTCGCAGAGGGCCGTCGTGCAGCGCCTGGACGAGGGCATCAAGCGCATGGGTGGCCCCACGACCAAGGTACCGAGAGCAGAAGAAGAACGGGCACGCCTTCTGTTCCAGTTGGTGCTGAAGATGGGCTGAGGAGATATCGAAGTTCACCGCGAAGCTACCGACAGTGATTCTGACGTTGGTTCCATGGTTGCTGACCCTTGCCCAGAGGTCTCTGTCCGAACGGTTGCACCTCATAAAAAAGAAGAACAAACTTCTCAGGGCGTGGTCATTTTACCTACTTCCGTGTTCTTGTTCCTCGCTATCCTCACCCTCATTTGCGGAGTCGTTGTCGGTTACCAGCTCGTACCACGGGATGTCATGACCTACAGCTACCTGAAGTACTTGGCGAGTGAAGCCGTGGGCAATCTAGCCATAGGTTCAATGGGGACGATGGGAGCTACGGCCGCCTTAGCCTCAGCACCACCCGAAGTCTGGAGTTCACCAACGCCGACGGGGGCAAGCCTTCTTCTGGCGGCACTTCCGTGGGCATTCCAGCGGGGGATGAGGCGCTTACGGACGTGATGGCTTATGGAGTTGCGAGAGCACGTATGATGCCGTGGAGTTTTTCATGGTTGACCCTCTGCTCATTGGCATCTCCCAGGAGGGACATCATCGCGTTTGTCCGTAGCTGGGTCGGCTGAGCGGGGAGTTCGCAGACGCACGCACGCTCCAGTCTGTTGCAGCTCGGTGCCATGCCAGTCAGCCGTACTTTCTGATAACGAGAGTTATCGCCACAAGAGAACCATCAGCATCAGCATCAGCATCATCATCATCATCATCGTTGTCATCATTGTCATCATCATCAGCAGCAGCAGCATCATCATCCTTCTTGAGGCTCCCAGACTGAGTTCTGAGGATCGAGCGCCCAGCCCCTCCTGCGGTCAGCGGAGGGCGTCGGGGACCGCCGGGCCCCTTCCATGGGCACTCCACACCTCTTCAATAGGCAACGTTACCGGGGTATCGGCTCAGGGGGGGGAAGGCTTCGCCCCCCCATCGCCCATCTCATCGCCGATAGCGGCCTGAGGGCCCGCCATGCCCAGGAACGTGAGGTCTCTCGCTATCGGCCTGCCGGCGACGTACCTCGCCCATTCCAGATAGATGCTGCTCCCCCTGAGCTGGCCCCCGCCTTCTTGCTCCCACTCGCACCTCCTCTCCCCCCCCCTTTGTTTCACGAGGCTCGCCTGGCACCCTCGCCGTGGGGGGGAGGGGCTGCTTTCGGGAACCCTCCTCCACGGTGTGCTCCGCTCCACGGAGGGGGTGTCGGGCTCCGAACTCGGACGACGCCCAGCCGTGCGTCAGACCAGCTCCATGCACGCCGCCGGCGCGTGCCGGCACGCGCAGAAGCGTCCCGTGGGTCTGGCTGACGGCAGCCAGCGGGGAGGCAGTACACGTAGGGGGGTCGAGGATTGCAAGAGAGTGGCCCTTCAGACTGCTGTTGCGGGCTCAACAGGTGCAGGAGCGGCGCAGGTGTTCTCTCCCCCCCCCGCGTGCTGCCCCCCCTCTGGCAGCGGACACCCGACTTGCCCACACAGCGGACGCCAGGCACTGCTCCGTTTGTCCAAGGAGCGCCAGATCGCGAACAGAAACTCGTTGCCTCGAGGGCTGCGGGGCGATGAAGAAAAGCGTCTGGCTTGCCCTCCCCGTGCCCACACAAACAGATCCCTGGAACAAGGACCACTTTGGTTTCGGAACGGGCTCGCGGTACCTCGGGTCCCCTCCTCGATTCTTCCTCCCGCGCGCTCCTTCTGCGTCTGGGCGCAACTGGGGCCAAGAAGTGTGGGGCTTCGTTCCCTGTTGAAGGCCCAGCGTTGCAAGGCTTTGACTGCACCTCTGCCCTCTCGCACCCCGCCCCACCCCGTCCTCTGCCCGTGTACACATCACTTCCCCGTTTCCTCCCCCTCACATCCCCGCGCCCATCACTCACCCACCATCCCCTCCCTTCTTTTCCCCACATCCCGCCCCTTCACAATTACGCAATATGAAAATACTCTCCCACTTCCCCTGATGGCGTCCCGAAGATATCCGACACCCCCCCGCGCATTGTTTTTTTACACACAGGATTCCCAGGAAACGGGTTTTCGCTTGTGTTTTTTTCAAAATGCTGCTCTCGCTGAGGCGCCGGCCTCATCTCTGCTTCCGAATCGTTCCGAATCGTGCTCCCGCTGCAGCCTGGGCCTCATTTTCGGACCGGTGTTTGGCCTCCGTCGTTCAGGATGGCGTTCTCGCCCCAGCGCGGGCCTCTTTCTCGCGCGCCCATCCGCCCGCCACCACCGCGCCGCACCACCACCACCACCACCACCACAACCACCACCAGCACCACCACCACCACCACCACCACCACCATCACCACCACCACCACCACCACCACCACCACCACCACCACCACCACCACAACACACACGCACGCACGCCCGCACGCACGCACGCGCACCACCACCCACTACGCACGCGCGCGCGGAGCCACAAGTCCGCCACGACACGCGTCCGCGGATAGAGAAAATCAGCGCCATGGTAAGGGATGGGAGGGAGGGGTAGGACGTCAGATATGACGCGGGCGCACCTAGCTTGCCTCCCCCCCTCCTCCCCTGCCTCCCCCACAGCCCACCCTTACCCCGCCATCCTCCCCCCTCCCCCTACTCACCACTCCTTTTCGCCCTTCCTCCCTCCTGCCGTTTGTCCTCCTTGCCTGTTCTCGTCCCCCTCCTCATCCCTTCAGCGGCCGAGTGACAGTACAACAGCGAGTACTAAGGCGGGGCTTTCTCGCTTCAATTCCAGACACGCAGACACACACACACACACACACACACCGCCTAACGCCCCCCTCCGCCTCCCCCCCCCCCCCCGCCTCCGTTGCCGTTTTGGCTCGGGCCACTCTGGGGGCCAATCTCGCAGCAAAGGGGCCGCCACTGGTCGCAGTACTACCGACAGGTTAGCCGGGCGGGGTATTTCCCCCTTTCGCGGCGAAAGGGGGAAATACCCCGCCGCTGGCCCCTTTCGCCGCGAAAGGGGGTATTTCCCCCTTTCGCGGCGAAAGGGGCCAGCGGCGAAAGTTTCGCCGCTGGCCTTCCCTCGGCCGTTCGCCCACTAGGCTGGGTGCAGCTCGTGTGGACGCGTCCCGTACATACGGTAGGTTCGCGTCGTGTCGACCGACGGCGGCCCCGCCGTCAGCGTTCAGCGTTGAGCGCCGCCGGCGACCAAGAATCGGGCGGTGTTGAACGATCTGGCGTTTCGAAAATCGGGCCGGGCGAAAGGGGGGGATTGGGAAAGGGGGGGTTACGAAATTTGCTGCATGCAGCTGGTTTCGGCTTTACCGAGGGGCCCATTCCTCGATACATGGCCGCCTCCTGGCGCCGGGAGGCGCCGGGAAAATCAGCTACGGGAGCTGATTCTCAACCCCCCCCTTTGCTATCCCCCCCTTTTGCCCGACCCGAGAAAACGGCCGATCGTTCAATTTAGAACGATCCCCGCGGTGTCAGGTACCAACGCCGAAGTCGACACGACAAGAACCTGCCGTACACCCATCAAAACCCTTGAGAAAAGCTTCGATTTTAGTGCAGGTTGTCAGCCAGGCGTCACGAGCTCGGCCGACTTCGAGGCCAATATGTTCGAATGTTTGAAGATTACGACTGGTGTCCTGCCTGTCGTGTTGCTGGTCGAGTGCTTCAGTCTTTCGTTTCGATGCTCTACGAATTTCAGGACTAGGTACATGCCCAGAACTTCGACATTGAGCTTGAGAAGCCTGATGTTCAGAAACCATACATGTCTAAGCTTGCTCTGTGTTACAGTCCGTCGACTCCTCCCATTGAAGCGTTGTACCGCCGAATATTGGCTTGGATTCCTGGGGCTCCGTTGTCTCATGTTTCGGTGGTGGTTCGAAAGCTCCGCCCGATCGTGAGGAAAATCAGCATCTATATCCCGCTTGCTGTCGTTCGCATTCTCGCGCGGTCGGTTTGCACCTCGTCCGGCTTCCACGCGACCTCTCGGGGCTGTCTCATGGGCTGTTTCTCTTCCTCACAAGACCTTGGCAATATGAAGCATTACGGCAGATGTGTCCCTATTCGTCAACTCTTCTCCAGATGGATGGGCATATGGACCCCGAGGCCTCCTGAGGGATTGCCCTGGCTATCCTCCCACCTCCTGTTTCATAGAATGGGACCTGACCAACACCTCCTTGCTGCTGATCTATGCGATGCCTTTCCTTCGTATGCATTCTGCCTTCCGCCTGCGTGCTGCGGAAACACATGCCCAGCACTTCGAGCCCGCGATCCTGCTCCAACCTGGCGTGCGGTCGCCAGGTGGCCGAGTGTGCTCCCGAGCGCTGGCCTTTGGCATTGGCCGCTGCGCCACTGGGGAGGTGGTTCCGCGGTCATCGCGGTCATCATGGGCGCGTGGCCCCTGGACCCCGAAGCCTCCCGAGACCCCCTCTGGTCCACCAAAAAGAAGAAACAAAGAAAGCATCAACTTTCGTTGACTTTTGATTTCGCTCTGGGAAATGAAGAATCTAGACTGGACCCTGGGCGTTTCTTGGAGCTTCTTCTCTTCGTAGGATGTCCCTATATCTGGACTGGACCTGGACTTTACCGTCTAAGAGAACGCTTGGAGTTAAGTGCGTATCCTCAGCCTAAGGCCCCTCTGAGCTCTGAGCAGGGGCTGTACTCGACTCGCGACTGTGACGCCGCTCCTCTCGCGGTGGAAGGCACCGCAGCCCTCCGGCTGCGCGCGGCCACCCGGCGCAGGGCCTCGCGCCCAGCGTTGCCACACTTGGCGCGCCACTGGCGCCGCGGCGCTGCCGGGCACGGCCAGCCACGCAAGTCAAAGTCAGCGGCGTAAAGGGCCCTCGGGCACGAACAGCAGATGGAAGTGCCGATTTCGAAGAAGAAGAAGAACAAAGAGGAAGGAACGGCATAAACGTAAAGAAACTTTAGGCGCTCCTCGCGGATTTCTTGGATGCGCGCTGGGGCCCCCCGGCGGCGCTTCCGGCGCCGACCCTGGCGCGCTCCGCGCGCCAGGGAGGGGGGTCAGCGCAGATCCAGGAAATCCGCGCGGAGCGCCAAAATTTTATGTTTATTCAGTTTTTTTTACGATTGCGACCGAGCATTGTAGACAGCGCAACGTACAAACGTCGTGAAAGTTAAAAATGCTGCTATGCAGGTTGGTGGTGTGGCCAACCCAGCGGACCTGCGACGCAGATTGGTAGGGTGTTTGACCCCTGCCACAGGCACGCACACATCGAGTAGGGGGTCGATTACAGAATTGAGTTATCCTGGATTGTTTCTCGTCGAATCAACCAGAAATGCGTCGAGTGCTCCGTAGATCGATGGAACATTCTACATGTGTTGTGTTGGATTGGGCGAAATAACAAGTCTGGCTCAAATCGATGATGTAGTCGATTACCTCTTCGGACACACACAGGCCGACTGATCGGCATGGTTCTGCGAGGTGTGCACCCCACCCGCGGGGCGCGCCTCTCTGACTGTAGTTTGCTTGCAGGCTGTCCGCTAGACACACGCACGCAAACGCTTTTAGGCGGCGCGGCCTCCCGCGCAGCGACGGGGCGGCGAAAGTGCAGCCAAGCGAACTAGCAACGCGCGCGGCCGGCGTCGCAGAAACCGGGGCAGAGACACACAGACACACACACAGACACAGACACAGACACAGACACAGACACAGACACAGACAAAGACACACACAGACACACACACACACACATACACACATACTGACACTTTTTGGCGTCACGGCCCCGCGCGCAGCGACAGGGCGTCGAAAGGTCAGAGAAGAGGGCGCACAAGCGTCTAAAGGCGGAGCCCTCTAGCCGCCAGAGCGAGCAGCGCCTCGGCCAGCCATAGGCCAGCCATAAGTCATCCGGGCATGGATGACAGGCGGGCCAGACGAGGTACTAGGCAGATAGACGATCGTCATGGAAACGACATGCCTAGAGGGCTAAGGGGGGCGCAGTGGAAACTACAGTGATTCCATTGCCATGCGAGTGGCATAAGGGCAGGACAAGGTACAAGGAGGCCGAAGGCCAGTTGTGGCGGCGTGTGCACCGCAAAGGCTGCCCCAAGGAGGTAGCAGCGCCGACAAGCCCGTTGTTGGCGCCAGAAGGTCAGCCGTGAGCCAGCCCAAAAGGGGAGGTGCGGCCGGCCCGAGGGCCCGCGGGGACGGTCTCTCCCAGGGCCCCGTGGAGGAGCGAGCGCGCAAAGGACAAGGAGGGCAAGCGACAGGAAGGAAAATGCGAACCATGCGCAGGAGTGCAGACGCGCAGGCTGATCAGAGCAGACGCACAGTGCAATGGCTGGCGTGCTTCGGTGAAGCGGCCCGCGCAGGCGCTCATGCAATATCTGGGGTATGTCGAGGGCTCTTGGCCAAGTGCAGGGATGGGGGTGGGCACTTAGGAGTGGACGAGGCGTTGGCAGAAGGAATGTGACAATGGAGGCGCGCAGGAGCTCCTTGGAAATGCCACTGGGCCGCGAGGCCGATCGCTTGTCGCACTTCCTGCGGGGGGGGCTGCCCGAGAGGACAGGTGGGGGCTGCGAACAGCCGGAGTGCCAGGCACAAGGGCTGATCTTTGTGAGTTACGTGGTTGAAAA